ACTCCTGGAAGCTGAAAATGAAAACTGTATTTTAAAAATATTTTCCTATCATTCTACAGGCTTCCAAGGAAAAAAAAAGTTCAGGTTTTCAGTCTCGTTTCTGTCATATTAATGTTTCTAATTGTTACCAAATGGAGTAGATTAGTTTTTTCTCTGAAGAGCATATGTTAATGCCAAGCCCTGGGTTGATTGACAGCAATGATGATCAAAGATGCCACCTAAATTGCTTTTCTATTCTTATTGCTAGTGTATTTCCCAAAGGACTCAAACCAAAGACTCAAGCTACATACCAGCATTAGCAAGACTGAAAGAAGCACTGAAAATGTTTCAGAGCAGATCCTCAACTAGTGAAACTTGGCAGTGCTCCACTGGCTTCTTGTTTTCACTCCTTCTCCTTCTGTCTCGCTTGTGCTTATGTGTGGGCTGCTGCCCTGCCTTAGACATTTTTTGAGGAACAGACTCACAGCAAGCAAAGCAGATAGATTAAATAGGTAGAAACTTCTGAGCAACGTACAAGAGATTCAACAACAACCTAAAAATAAAAGTGGTACAAAATAATAACGTTTGTTTGTGCCAGAACAGTAAGCTAAATTTTCAACTGCTATAAACAAGGATAAGTCTGTTGCTGGAAATGGAGCTAGACCAGTTGACATCAAATTACAATTTACTTTTATTTACTCCAAAGGACCTGCATCAGCTAATGAAGATCTTGTGTATTTTATTGAATTAATCAAAGTTATGGCTATTGTGTGATAGTTCTGTTCTAAAAAGAGATGAGGAACTCTCTGAAACCTAATTCTTGTTTTTGTAATGGTGCAGTAAATCATCAGCAATACAACTTTAAACAATGTCAGCATAAAATTGATAGAAATGAGAGAAATTGCAGCACAGGAAAAATGGGATCTCACAGACTTAAGCAAAAGTATCAGGACTTAACGGATCTTAAAAGCGATGGCATGGGAGTCTGTAACACCAACTGACTAGATAGCTCTAATTTTAAACTGCAATGAAAAGGTACCATTTTTCTGTTGAGAGAGGGGAAGGGAGATATCTAAGAACCAGCAACAATGTCATTGTGGCTCCATTATCCAGTGTTTCATTAAAACCACAAGCAGGGTTTTTTAACTTGGCTCCCAAAACTGACCCTGCCTGTGTGAGCAGTAGCAGTGGTGAACAAATGAGGGTGGATATTTGTTCTGTTTCCTGCAATCTGAATTGTAATCATTGGCACAAATGATTTTGTGTATTATGTGCCTACAAGTCAATGAAAGAAGTAAGAAATCTTATAAAACACAAAAAGTGGAAGATTTTAAACTAAAAAGTCTCTGTCACTATATCTTCTTCCTTTAGCTTTCTCTTCAATCTGGTTTTAAAACTAATTCTTGCCCAAGAGCATCTTATGATTTTGGTCTTTTCTATTTATAAATTAAAAAAAAAAATATTGAATGCAAGGAGCTATCTCTGAGAAAGAATAAAAGTATATACTCAAAAGGTATAATTTCAAAACAAGTAAAATCTTAAAAAAAAAAAAAAAGAAAAATTAAGCACATGCTACTTGACTTGGGGCCCTGCCGTTTGACCCTTTCTTCAAAATACCACGTGAGGTTCAAATTGAGCAAGTCTCAGCTAGAGTGTCAGTAAGTCCAGACTCACCACGAGCTGGTGAGCTCATTGCTCCAGTCTGAGAGAAAAAGCAGAATGGCAAACCAAGATCTGAAGAGTATCTGAAGTTATGTTGTTCTAAGTGCTGGAGTCAGTTAGTTGCAGTTCTAGGGAGGTATTTCTTTGTTTTATGCAGAATTTCTTGGCACAGACAGTAAGATGGCAAGGATAAGCATGTTCGTTTTTCATCAGCATTTGTGATCTTGGAATCAAAGTATCACAGAAATGAAATTATCACCAGCCCTAACTGAGACTCAGTTTAAATGGTCCTTAAGTAAACCTTAGTCTCAGCTTTGCTCAAAGTTTTCAAGAACTTGAGATTTATCCCAGATGACCAGAAATACTTTAACAGGAAGCATATAAGGAAGTTGCCTCTTACTCATGCACAGAAATTGAATTTGACTCCCCAGCTTGCTGGAGTTGAAATGAAGAGATTTCTATGTCATAGTGGTTTAAACCTACTAAATATAGGATGTAACAGTTCTGTATAGCAGATGTTATATCAATAGGCAAGCTGCATGACAGAAGGTTTGAGTCACTTGGAGGGTAAAGATCTAATTGCAGTTGGTTGTGCTATAGATATTTAAAAAAATAAGAAGAATGGTAAAACCAGAAAGGCAGATGAGCAGAAGGGAGGGAATATATCACAACATATATCAATGGAACTGGGCATTTTACTGGGCTGTAGTGAAAACAGTATTTTAATCACAGTATTGTGGGACAGGGAATAGACAGCTGCTGAGTTCCCTTGAAACCAATTCTGTAATAATGACCTTAGAAAACTATGCATCAGCAACTGAAATAAATTAGTCTAAGGAATGCCAGGCATTTACTATGGTTCAGTGTTTTCTGAGGGACTTCAGTTTAATTTGGCACTTCTAAGTAGAAAATTAAAATCATTTTTGAGATAACTGACTCTGTGGTAGGAACAGTCAGGATGTGAGGAAACAAAAGTACACAGTTAAAGGTATTATGAAATGGTAACCTTCAACTATTGAACTAGTGTCCATTCTCTGATAGAGAAGAAATACTAAGCACAAGGTCAGATAAGAGTAAAGGAGGCAGAAGATGCAAAGATGCCTACTAAACGTGTCTCACATCAGTGGCTACACCTGAGAGATGAAAACATTAGTAGGAGAACAAGGATCTAAGTGCTAAGAAAATCACCCAATTCAGAGGACACTGGTAAGCATCCTGTGGAGATTTTAGCAAAAGTACAGAAAATAAGCTTCCCTGTAACTCGTCTGTTGTTGTCTGCCCATTTAATCTTTCCCCAAAGAACTCCATTAATTAACCCATAAGAAGTTATGAAGTCTTTATTCCTGCTCTTGGCACATCTTATATAAAAAATTAGTTACAGTTACCTTTGGTTACAAATGAAGTCGAAGCCCTCACGTTCAAATCAGGTTTCTGATTTAAAATGTGTGTCCAAATTAACAATATCAGAGTAAGCCAAAGTTGAAGCACCATTTCCAGTGTTATTTAAATGTAAAAATATACATTATACAAACATCAAAGTATATACTCAGCAAAGAGAGAAAATTTAAAATATAAATTTTTGCCAGTCTAAAACAGAGAGATGGCCTCATTGGTAGATTAATGGTGCCTAAATGAAAATTTAAAAAGCCAGAGAATCTGATACAAAAAAATCATCTAGAGTTAAACAATGCCTTATATCATTCAACACCTTATATCATTCAACAAATTATATGATTCAAACGAGATAAAAATCCAAGTGTGAATTTAAAATCAAGCAATCTTTTATTATAGACACCAATGTTCAGATAAAGCAAACCCCCAATATCTCATATTAAGCAAGTGGGGTGATAAAACCTAGGCATATAATTTTCTGCAGAGGTCTTTAGGTAGGAAATCTAATAATGAAAAAATACTTGGGCTTTTTGTAGGGCAATCAAGATTAATAAGTCAGCTGTTTATATAGTGTTAAGAGAATCTTAGTATTTCTGGTAAAAACATAGGGGGTTTTACATTATTTTATTCCTGCATTATTAGGGAGAATCCGAACATAGAATCCTAGAATGGCTTTAGTTGGAAGGGACCTTAACAATCATCTAATTTTGACTCCTATGACAGGGGCAGGGACACCTTCCTCCAGAACAAGTTGCTCACAGCCCCATCCAACCTGGCCTTGAACACTTCCAGAGATGAATCAGCCACACCTTCCCTATATAACCTGTCCAGTGCCTCACCACCAAGAACTTCCACCTAATATCTAATCTAAGCCTACTCTCTTTCAGTTGAAGCCATTCCCCCTTGTCCTGTCACTCCAGACACACATAAGAAGCCTCTTTCTATTTGCCTTGGAGACTCTCTTCAGGTGCTGTGAGGCTACAAATAGGTCACCCCAAAGCCTTCCCTTCTTCTTTTCTTCTATTGGGCTTGAACAATCCCAATTCTCTCTGCCTTTCCTTCTAGGAGAGGTTCTCCATCCCTCCGATCCTCTTCAAGGCCCTCCTCTGGAGTCACTGCAGCAGCTCCCTGTCCCTCCTGTGCTGGCCCCCAGAGCTGATGCAGCCCTGCAGGGGCTCTCAGCAGAGCAGAGCAGAGGGGCAGAATCCCCTCCCTGGCCCTGCTGCCCACGCTGCTCTGGATGCAGCCCAGGGCACGTTTGGCTCTCTGGGCTGGCAGTGCCCATGGTGCCTCATGTGCAGCCTCTCAGGCAGCAGCACCCCCAAGTGCCTCTGGGCAGGGCTGCTCTGGGGCTGCTCATGCCCAGCCTGTGCTGAGACTGGGGCTTGCCCCAACCCAGGAGCAGCACCAGCACCTGGTCTTGTTAAACCTCAGGAGGTTCCTATATTCTCTTATTAATCCTTGCTTTTTAAAAATGGCAATTTTTCTTTTCCACCTATTTTACTTCCACTTAATGCTAGATATGCATGGCATATTTTTATTTTTTCATTAATATGTCTATTCATAATTTTGATTAAATGTCCAGGCACTCACACCTGTTCTGGTGATTCTGCCTCTCTGTACCAATGACTTTCTTTTACTGATGCTGTTGTAAAATAACCCAAAAAACACAGGCTCAAATCAACTCAAAAATTTACACTTGTCCAATAAATGTTAAAACAGTGCCTATTCCAAATGACAATTCTCTTTTTCTTTTGTCATTGTTTTTGTTCTTCATTCTTTAAAATTTGTAAAAAGTAATTATTTAAACAGCACCCCTTAATCAAATGCTATGTTCAGAATATTCTAATGTGTTATATTTAATTGAATTCAAGACAGTTCATAGAAATTATGGAAAGGAAAGTATTGATTGGTGAAGGCAAGAAGTCAGCAATGAAAACCTCAGACTACCGAAGGGCAAAGATTACCTCCCACTTAAAACCTCCCTTCTTGATCCGGCATGTACCTGCAAAAAATAAAAATAATGAATAAATAAAAAATTATTATTAATGAGGCCTCCATGAGAGAATGAAACTTGCAGGCATTAAGAAATTAGCCAGCATAGGAGAGGAGCTTGAAGTGATTTCCACAAATGAAGTCTCAGCTCTATTCAGCTGCATTCTCTTCCCAAGGAGAAAAGGCAGTCTTGGAGCAAACAGAACATTTATCAGTCATCAGGAATTTAATGGAAGGACATGACTGTAAGACTTTTATTGCAATAACTAGGGAAATATGTACTGCATTTAGACTTGCCTGGCAGCTAGGCTTGATCCAGAGTGTGAAGATTGCAGGGTGTTTATCATGAGAGGTTTCAATGCAACCTAAACCAGGTAAGCATGAATCACAACAGAGGTTGCACATTTTTGTTCTACTATATGTGAAACTTCAGGTAACACAAAGCTTCCCTGTCACTTTTGGATCATATAATTAGCCAGAAACTGTAACCAGGACACTCAATAGTGCACAGTATGTGTCCCTGGTATGGATATTCTGAGTTGTGACATAAGGTCAGACCAGCGAATTTGGAAAAATCTTAGTGTATTTTGCAGGATACCAGGAACAGCTCCAGAAGTTACTGGATTTGCACTCATATCACAGAACCGTGGTTCCTTCTTGCTTCTTTCTTGCCCTGTGTTATGCTCAGTGAATAAAGGAATGAATGACAGCTCTTCCCCTTCCCTCCTCTCTCCCACCCACTTTGCCTTCACTTGCTGATGGCAAGATGCATTCTCTCTTGAATCATAGCCACCCTATAAAAACACCGTCAGGTTCTGTGCACAAAAATAGAACTTTGTAAATTGTTTTTGTGTAAGAGGGTAACTGAATCATCACTGATATCAGTAGATATAGGAACTCGTACCCTATAAAAAACCTTAATAGCTTCTCCTCAATCTAGTTTTCTTGGCATTATTCAAACACACTGAGTATTTTTATTAAAAAGATCTACTGATCTCAAGATATTTTTAGCATCTGAAATGACCTCTCAGCAGATATACTATTGTCATGAATGAAGGTTAATCTTCAGAATAATTTGAGAAGCTCATTTTTCTGAGGAAGTTTTTTTCCACCAGACTTCCATATTCTTTTCCAACTCTTCATCTCTATCCAATCCTTACCTAGCCTGAAGCTTTTATGAGATCCGTAGATTTGTCTCATTGCCATCATTTTAGCTCTTTTCCACTTTATCCCTAGTCTTTCTCTTTTACAAAACCACTGTGAGCACAAACAATCTAACATTCTTCTGCTACTGCTGTACAGCAATATCACTGCTTCATGGAACTGATTGCTTGGCTAGTGGCTGTCTGTCCAAAAGATTTAACCAAAATTTCTCCCAAATACTTTGATTCGTTCCCATTCACATTTCATAGCTTCACATTCCTTAGCTTCACATTTCATAAGATAGCTTTGAGTAAGCTTGAGCAGAAAATATAAGGACAGAGCAATTACTTACCTGATCTGCTACGTTCTCTAAAAGAGAAGATTTACTGTAAAGAATGAAAGGGTTTTTGTTATTAATCTCTGTTTTTACTAGCCTGGCTTGAATTAAGAATATGTATTTCAGAAGAATAAACTTCTGAGAGCTCATTTTTGTATTTTTCTCTGTGTGTCCTTCCCATGGCTTTGATTCTCCTCTACGGCAGAATCACAAGGTAAACATTCATAATCAGATTACACAGCCCAGTGATTCTGAATATTACCTGATTACTTCACTTCCCAGGCTGAGGGTACACAATGACATCCTTCAAAGCTAATTGAGAAGTACAGATAAAAAGACAGTCAGAAATACTTGGAAGTGGGGATACTTTTACTGGAAAAAATCCTGGAAAACAATTTTTTAATATGTATACCAGAATTATATGGTTGCCTTTCAGACACCAAGGAATAAACACATTCACCATAACTCAATGTTTTAATATAACAGCAAAATATGCAGCTACACTGGAGCCACACTAGAGCAACACTACCCAGGAGCAACATTACAGACCAGAACTAATTCTTGGTTTCTGAACTGATTCATGAGCATTTTCCTTCCCCTGCTTATTAAAAAGTTACACTAAAGAAAATGTCCAGGCATTTAAGACGCTGCTATGAAATTCTTATAAAGCTGTAAGGTTCCATTCTCACCTTTGCCTCAGGTCTGTGGCACTGCCTTGGTCAGGTTGGTGATGCACAATGTGTTGTATTGCAATGAATTTTATGGGACAGGTCAGTTAATCTTAGAAGTAAATGATGCTTCACTAAGAAAAGCCAATTGAAAAAAAAAATATGTTTAATTGACTGGAAGGAGCAATAGCCTTTAAGGACCAAGACAAAATGATACTATAGAGTTGGAATGCTAATTAAAAGTTCAATTAAAGTCTAGAAAATTATAAATCACCAGTCTTAAGAGTTTTTCCTCATTTGCACCTAGGAAATGCCACAAAACAAGCTTTGATAGCCTACTATACAGGAATATAAAGTAGATGTAAAAGCAGCTCTTAAATTTTTATTTAAAAACATCACATTTTCACATTCCAAGAGAAACTACTGAATAACTTCTGCCTCTGTGATTTTGAATTTCACATTTTAAAGAAATAGGCTACCCAACATCAAATTAGACTAATATAAAAGGAAAACATTAAATTCAGGCCTGTGGCAAATAACCGAGGCTCCACTTCTGCCTATAGACTCTTTCAACACTGGTGTACCATTATTTCTATAGACTATCAAGAAGATTTTTAAGCACACTAAATTAAGTGGTGAATAAAGTCCTAACAAAATGTTCTCTTTGAAAATCTTCATTGAAATACAAGGAGTGGGCAGCTCATACTGCTAGGTGAATGTGATATGAATTACTTTAAGAAGCTACAGTGACACTGAAATTATCATCAATTACAGTTGCCAAATTAAGTAGGAAAAAAATAATGGACAAGATATGAAGGTGGGAGTTATGGAGATACAGTAACTACTAAAAATACAGGTAAAGCTGTAAAGCCATCATGACACAATACCTAATGATTTACTTATTATTCAGCATCTATTAAAACATAAAGGGTTTTTTTTCCTATATCTAATGGTTGGTAAATCATTTCTCTACTGGCGCCAGAATGCCATCATTTAATGCTATATTTTTAATGTGATAGTGCTAAAAACAAAATCTTTGTTAAGAAAGAGAGATGGATGAACTGTTAGATAAGGAATTGGTTGAATGGTCACATCCAGAGGATGTGACCAATGATTCAGAGTACCAATGAACATCAGTGACAAGTGGTGTGCCCTAGGGTATTGGAACCTGTGTTATTTAATATCTTCATAAATTACATATAGCGATTGAGTGCAGCCTCAGGAAATTTGCAGATGACACCAAGCTGACTGGTGTGGATGACAAACCTGAAGGATGACATGTCATCCAGAGGGACCTGGACAAGCTCCAGGAGGGGGTCCATGGGAACCTCCTGAGGTTTAACAAGACCAGGTGCTGGTGCTGCTCCTGGGTTGGGGCAAGCCCCAGTCTCAGCACAGGCTGGGGATGAGCAGCCCCAGAGCAGCCCTGCCCAGAGGCACTTGGGGGTGCTGCTGCCTGAGAGGCTGCACATGAGGCACCATGGGCACTGCCAGCCCAGAGAGCCAAACGTGCCCTGGGCTGCATCCAGAGCAGCGTGGGCAGCAGGGCCAGGGAGGGGATTCTGCCCCTCTGCTCTGCTCTGCTGAGAGCCCCTGCAGGGCTGCATCAGCTCTGGGGGCCAGCACAGGAGGGACAGGGAGCTGCTGCAGTGACTCCAGAGGAGGGCCTTGAAGAGGATCGGAGGGATGGAGGACCTCTCCTAGAAGGAAAGGCAGAGAGAATTGGGATTGTTCAAGCCCAATAGAAGAAAAGAAGAAGGGAAGGCTTTGGGGTGACCTATTTGTAGCCTCACAGCACCTGAAGAGAGTCTCCAAGGCAAATAGAAAGAGGCTTCTTATGTGTGTCTGGAGTGACAGGACAAGGGGGAATGGCTTCAACTGAAAGAGAGTAGGCTTAGATTAGATATTAGGTGGAAGTTCTTGGTGGTGAGGCACTGGACAGGTTATATAGGGAAGGTGTGGCTGATTCATCTCTGGAAGTGTTCAAGGCCAGGTTGGATGGGGCTGTGAGCAACTTGTTCTGGAGGAAGGTGTCCCTGCCCCTGTCATAGGAGTCAAAATTAGATGATTGTTAAGGTCCCTTCCAACTAAAGCCATTCTAGGATTCCATGAATGTCTTACTTACCAAATGTATCCTGTGTGCGTGTGTGTGTGTGTGTGTATATATACATATATATATGTACACAGTGACTATGTGTGTTTTGACAATCTAAATTAATTATTTTAGAACCTATCTATTTCTGCATCTCTTGAAGATTTGGAACTAACGAATTCAATGTCAGAACTTTTACTAGATGTGAAAATTTCTTAATCAGAGTTCATAATGCCCTTTAATATGAAACTGTGGGCTAAGGACAAAGAGGAATTCAGATCCTTTTTATTGGTTTTATATTGTTCAGAAGAAAAAGAAAATTTCTTTCTTTAAAAGAAAAGAATCCTTCAGGGAAAAAAAATGTCAACAATTTATTTGCTAAAATACATACCCAGAGACTTGAAATAAAAAATATGCTCAAAATTTTGCAATTTGGGGATTCAAAATAGTAAGCTTCCTAGGGCAGGGGCCATCAGAGATTTTATTTGTACATGGTGCTTAGCACAATGAAACCCCAGTTTTTGACTGCAGCCCCTGAGTGCTACTGTAATAGAAATAATAAATGATGATAATAATAATAAAGTCCACTCATTAAGTTGACAGGCAATTTTTGAAATAATGAGTAATCAAGGAAACTAATTTTTTTGCAATAAGAAATTCAGCCATTTCATCTTATCACAGATAATATACATCTGTCTTCTATGCTGTTTGCAGAAATTCTGTGGATATGCTGTGTCTTCTCATAAGAAAATTGGTTCATGAAATGGAACAATTTTTCTCAGACTCATGATTTCTTCTTTATTGAGGGCCAAATTGAGCCTGTGTTCAATTGCCCATGTCTGGGACAGCAAGTAGTTATAGCACCTCCAGAGCAAGCTGGGGAAGAAATTGTGACTCACAGAGTTCCAACCCCTTTCTCAGCCTCCACTGCCTACTTGCTCCAGAAAGAAAGTAACCTGCAAATGCTCTATAGTATGGATTATTTGCCACCCCTGCCAGCTCAGCTCAGCTCGCTGCCATGTTGAGGAGCGAGAGCCAAGATTACTTTCACACCCTCCTCATGTGTGCAGAGGACATGAAAAAGAAAGGAATTCTAAGTGAAAAGCCTTTATTCTCCATCCTGTGGCAAACCGAAAATCTACGGAGATGACATACACATGTAGTGCTTCAGTGAGGAGAGATAAACCTAGGCATCAATCTGACGCTTCATTATCAGCTAACAACATTGTGGCTAAGGAAAAATAGTCCCAAAAGGGGGAAATTTAAATCCTTCTTCTACCTAATCAAGATAACCCTAAAGCAGGGAGTTAATTTTACTTTTGTCTTTATTTGTTAAATTTCCCTATGTGAATTGTGAAATCACATGTAAAATCTTAAGACCCATATATAGAGCACACAACGCTATGTTGGCATGCAGACCTGTTTCACTGGCAATATTCTATGGCAAAGCAATAATGTTTCTAGACTCTTTTTTCAGAGATTTTAAAGTTGTCAGTGGAAAATGAAGTGACTCTGATTGCCTTTATTTGATATGTAGATCCATATTAATGACTAAAGAAAATAGTCAGATGGTTTGACCTCTCTCAAAAAGTCACCTCTGATTTTGGATCAAAGACATGTTTAGCAATATCCACAGTCCTCGTGTGTCCACACCACACAATTTGATGTACTCATCATCAATCATATGCTGTATGATTAATTTGAATCGTTATGAGTAATGTCTATCACCGCAGTCCTGGCATGAATAATTATTGTTCTGCACCCTGCTGAGATAACTCATTTCTGACAAAGATCTGCAATTTGATTTCTGCATAAAATGAAAGATGAAGTAGGAATAGTTTATTAGAATGGTATAGTCAGTTCAAATTTTTCATAATAAACGTTTTTATATCCTAGGAATTACTAACTGCTTTAAAGAAAAACATGTGAAACAAATCTCAATAGATTAGAGATATTGTTTTTGCAATCACCCCTGGATCTTTCCATCAGTATGGGAGGTCTGTATATCAAAAATAGCAATGATAATGTTAGAGCTTGCTGGTTTTCTGCAGACTTGTACTACAAATAGCAATCACAGAAACAAATTCATAAGAGGAAGTCATAAGAAGACATAATAATACCAACAGGACCAAAAGAAGATGGAATTTAACACCAAAAAATAGATGCTGATCAAGTATAGAGATTAGGAGTCAGACTGGAGAAAAAGTGAACAGGCAAGAACATGTGAGAGCTGGGAAGCTATTAAATATACCTGGCACTTGCAAACCAGAGTCCAAAGTGTGTTCCACATGTGCAAAGGAAAGCTGACCAGCAATTTTCTTTGGCCAGGGATGCAACTTGAATGCCATCAAGTGGCTTCACCCTTGCGTGTCATCAACAAGTTCCTAATTTGGGAACATCGGTGGTGCAGCCTTGAACAACAGCCCTGGTGAGGGGAGCACCAAGGCTCACACATGCAGGAGTGAGAGCAAGTTGACACCGGCCCTGTTTGTGTCTATCATTAAGTCAAACAGCACCAAAAATCTCAGATTCTCCATCTTCCAGGCAGGTGCTCAAGGAACTAGATAGCTATTTTTGTTCTAACTCAAAGAACATTTAAGTATGACATGTGAAGTGAAAAAGAACTAACAGAAGAGACTGAGAAGTTCTCCATTTCAAAATACCGTGCAGTCTGGCAATTGAGTTTCTTCTTACCATAGAAATGAAAAAGACTTACATTTCTTCCCACAGCAGAAGAGGAATTTGAGCCCAGGTTTCCCACAGGCTGTATAAGAGCCCTTACTAGTGTGCAAGTGAGTAAAGCAGACAGTGCCTTCTGCTGTGTGAATCCAGTCTTTGAAGCCATAACAAGACATTCTGGCAGTTGGGGCAGGATGTCAGTTTAATACCACTCTGCCTTCTTTCCACATGCACATGTAATAAAAGAGTAGCAAAAAATAAGTGGCAAAAGCTTCTTACCTTTACTATCACATAAACGGCTACTCAGAAAGTCAACATATGGCCCTCTTGCCCCAGCCTTGCTATAGTTTTGCTTTTCTTCTTTTTTTTTAGCCTTTTTTTTTTCCTCCTTACTGAAACTACAGTTCATCAGCTCTTCTAAACTTGAATAGACCAAGCTGTTTTAAACACATCCTCTAGTGATTCAGCCTTAGTATCATGGCTCTGGTACAAATTCTGCCTACAACTGTTAAGGAAAGACAGTTTCCTTCTTTCTTGGCGTGCCTCTACAACAGCATCCCTTCCCCCAAAAAACACTGCCTGCTTCCTCCTTTTTCTTCTATAAGATATAAAATCTTGTACTAGACTTAATCCTTCATTTCAGGTCTTCTAAAAATAAGCCTGTTGTTTTTCTAACAGTAAGCAGGTATCCTTTTCGCACTTATCACCTTATCCAGTTATTTTAAAAAATCTTGTGTGTCTTCTATAGTGGCATATTTTCTGTAACGCTTGCAGTTCTGAATGATTTCCATAATTCTTTCAGTTAGTTTAACTATATATATATATTTGTTCTATTAGTATTAAATTGCCACCTGTATGAATCTATTGTACTTCATATGTATGTGTATATATCTTTCCCTTGTTCCTCACATTAAGGCAAGGAGAACTACAGATGTCTTCCTGAGTTTACTGACTCTGAAGCAGTAGCAAGCAGTAACACCTGTGTTTCTTTGATTGGCAGAGCACCATTTATGAATCCTGAATATGAATCATCATATTTATGGGTCGAAGCTTTTCAGTCCTGAAAAATTTAGAAAAATAACCAGAATAAGAATAAATTCGATATTTTATCAGCCTCCTGTGAACTCTGAGACAAGGGACTTGAAAAGAACAGCAGAGATATTTATTTAATTTTTAGGATATTGGTAGAGTTTACCTTCAAAGAAGACCAATGGGTAGGTTGATGTGCTCTTTCATACTTCAGAGACCAATAATGGTAAATTTGCATTAGTTACTCTTTAATTAGACAACTCTCTGCAACAATTTGATTGAATCATTATTCCCATTAAATATGTCTTCTCCTTTCTGAATTGTTTGGCTTCAGCTTCTGATCACTGATTTTGCCATTCTTTTCTCATATTTCACTTCACTCTGTGAAGTTACACTAAAATTCATTCCTCAGATTTCTTATTGATACACACTCTGTATTATTTTATTTTATCCATTAGTGTCCAGCATTTACTCCATTTCTTTAATTCTTCTGGTGTCCCTTTCCTATATTTGAGCACAGCACTTCTTATAATTTGCCCAGCTACTTCTATGCTGCCACTGACAATATTTTGATAAAGCCACATTTGCCTTTTCACCTCAGCCAAGGGCCAGAGTTGTGCTGGATTAGCTGGCTCTTTCCTACCATTACAATAATCCATCAAATTGATAATCCAATCCTCATTTGACTATCTCCCACCCACTCACAGCTCAAAATAGCCTGAATTTGGTAAGCTTCCAGGTGCCCTGCGAAGATGAGAGAGTTTTAAAGTAAGGTTCAAGAAACACTTGTCATAGTGGTTGAAGGGGTAAAAATGAGTAACTCAAGATGTTTAGCTCATTGCATTTCTCCTGGAACAAGTTACTGAAATGGTGATTTTTGTAGAAGCATTGTCATACTGCGCAACAGTGAAGTGGTAAGTTTCTTTCCTAAATAGCTTTACATCCAAGTACAGTGAAAAGAACAAGATTTCCAGAATCACAGCAGGGAATTAGTCTTAATGTAAGTAAAGTTCTGTTTCTTTTATAGGAGAGAAACAGCTGATGAATTTTCTATTATTTAAATGTCTTAATTTTTTTCCCATATTTTACTTGTGCACATACTTCCTTCAGCTTTTGGACCTAAGATTGTCTATGTTATTTTTCTTTGAAGTTTGTTCACTCTTCAAAAAAGGGAATGAATATGTAAGATTTAATAAAATATTAAATTCAACTTTTAAAAGACTGAAAGAACAAATAGCTTTCAATTCCCAAATCATGAATATCAAAACGAGCAGTTTGCTTCACATTTTTAAGGTTTGATTTCAAAATGCAGACAAAGATTCCCATCCCATTAATAAATTACTCTTTGGAATGGAAAAAATAGGACTAATCATTGGATTACCAGTTCTATAGTCCCATATTTAACCATCATGCTTGAATTGATAAAGTAGCAGTGATGTCTTTGAAATAGGTATATGCCTTTGTTGTGTAATCCCTGATTATTACAGGAATTCCAAATATATTTGATAGCTGTATAAAAAAGAATTTTTAAAAAAAGAGACAAAAAATAGGAACAACTTTACCACATAGGTATTCTTTTACTTTTAAGTTCAAAGACTTTCGTTTGCATGGGTTTTTTTGTATTCATGTAGCACTTACACTTCAGTCACCTGGCTTGTATTCACTTAGTTTTTCACCATTAGTGAGCACAGGGGAATTTCAGCTCAAAAGTCTGATCAAGCTGAGTGTTAGAGAAGTCTGAATCTCCTCACTATAGCCCAGATTTCTGCTTTTTCAGATTCTCCCCACATTGCAGGGATGCTACTTTGGCATCGAAATGAAATTTGTTCATTTGTTTCACTTTTCTTCATTCCAGCATGGAAATGAAAAAAGAGGAATCAGATGTACCAGCAGATTTTGCCACAGGGAAGGATTTTCTAGTGCTGATTCCACATTGATCCAGAAGTTTAAGTTCCAAAACCTCAGTAAAATGGTTCTTTAAATTTCTTGCCAGTCCACAGTTACTGACTTACTGCTAATTTTCCACCCTTCTCAGCATAGGCAATGGCACACTTGATGATCTGAAGGAGCAATATTGAGAGTTTGAGCCACATCCAGGCAGAGACCTATATCTCTCATCTTAGGATGGATATCTTGCATAAGGAAAATCATCTTGAGGTGCGTACAGGAAAGAACTCAAAGAACCCCATGTAAACTCAACATAAGAGTAAATATTACTCTAATTTCTGTAATTAAAAGACTAAAGACTGGATTGATTCCATCTAATTTTAAGTCTCTATGTGGAGGTCCTCAGAGGAATTTGGAAGTGTCTAGACTGTCAGGCATGGTTGCACCAAGATTGTGTGATGCAGGAAGCCCCCCAGGCTTCACCAACATTTGCCTCATTCCTGGATTTGCCTGGCAAGGAAAAGTGAGCATACAGACAGCAGGGAAACAGTGACATTCTGCCAGGCCATTAGACTGCATAAGTGAGAGACCAAGACCTTGGGACATCTCACATTGTCCATCTTCAATTTGGAAATAGCTGCTACACTTTAGTCTTCCTCCATGGTCAAGAAAGACAGAGAGGAGTATCTGGAAGACACATTCTGATCTAACCTAACTCTGGTCCAGCTCTTAAAATTTGGAAGAGTGAAGGGAATTCTTCTTTTGCCTTTCAAAAGTGCTTGTTAACACTCACATAAGAATCAGTGCTTCTTTTGTCATAAAATAAATCTGGATAGCAAAAATTTTTGTTTACTTATTTTAATTAGTTTGTTTTAATGTACCCCGAAAAGTATTCATGCATATGTGTGTATCTATATATGTACAGATAGATAGATAGATAGATAGATAGATTTATATGTAAATATAAATGTGTCTGTCTGGAATATCTTGTTTCTATATATACAGTGTCTTAGATACAATATTGAAGACTGTTAAGATATAATTATTTTTTAGCTAAAAATATGGGGAAGAAATTTTAGTCATTTTAATGGGAAAACAATGGTTTTGGAAAATATGGTAATATATTCTTTGACATTGAACATCTAGTTCATGCAGGCAAAATATTTATATCACAGAATCACAGAATTCCTAGGTTGGAAGAGACCTTTAAGATCATCGAGTCCAACCCATGTTCTAATACCTCAACTAGATCATGGCACCAAGTGCCACATCCAGTCTTTTTTTAAACACATCGAGGGATGGTGACTCCACCACCTCCCTGGGTAAATGATTCCAGTATTTGACCACTCTTTCTGTAAAAATCTTCCTCCTTAATTCTAGCCTGTATCTCCCTTTTACTTTAAAAATCAATATTATCTTTTAAAATATTTTTGATCATTCTGTGTCCCAGTTTTGAATGGAACACAGTTCATTTTTTCATGTCAGTGGCTGGTACAGTGGGGTTTTTTGGATTTATGCTGAACACAGGGTTGATAATATAGAGAAGTTTTTGCTACAGCTGAGGGGTACTTACACAGAGCCAAGGCCAGTGAGCAGGCTGGGGGTGCTCAAGAGATTGAGAGGAGACACAGCCAGACTGACTGGCCACAGCTGGCTCCAGCTGGCCACAGGGATATCCCATGCCATGCAGCATCATGCTGAGCATACAAAGCTGAGGGGAGAAGAGAGCAGGGGACATTCAGAGTAATGGCATTTTTGTTCCCATAAACAGTTACACATGAGCAAGCCCTGTTTCCTGGGGATGGCTGAACACCTGTCTGCATTTGAGAGGCAGTGACTTAATTCCTTATGTTGTTTTGCTTGCATGCACAGCTTTTACTTTACCTATAAAACCATCTTTATCTCAACCCACTGGTTTTCTCACTTTTCCTATTCCCTCCCCCATCCCGCTGGTGGTAGGGTGAGCAAGAGCTCCCTAGGGCTTGCTTGACACCTGGAGTTAAGCCACAACGTTGTAATAAGAATTTAGATATTCAACTTACTTTGTGGAAAACTAACCAGCCTGAATACTCAAGGTTAGGTGCAACATAAACTGTGATTCTAAAGATGCAGTGTCTGAAATGTAGCAATGGCAACTGGAGCTTATTTCAGCAAAGTATTGATTTTTTTTCTCACTTCTTGCTACAAACTGGCAAAGTACCTTGTCTTGCCATGGACAGCAGTAAACATGGAAAAAACCTGAGATATTCCTCAACATTGAAATTTAAATGCAGTCAGATCAGAGGGGAAAAATTTAACCCTAACTAATTTCATCTGAGTTTATTCCATGCCTGTAATATTCACCTAGTCCAGCCTTATTGCTGTGGTAGGGCTTTTGTTGTAGCCAACTGTACACCCCTACAAACACAGAATGATCTATTGGGAGCACCTTGCACTCTCACTGTCGAAGATGGCATGTGCCAGAACAGAGATCTGCTCTGCAATGAAGGATCTCAAACACTGAGGTGAGGAAGAACAAAGAAATAAAATCAGCCCACAATCACTCATTATCTAATCTGTTTTGCTTTATTATTTTTTCTTCATATGTTTTTAAACCTCTCTGCATTTTCCCCTTCCCCCTTATTTCTGAGAAGTGTTTGCTTCTAAAGCATTGTGCAACATATGAACATTGGAGAAATCTGGATTTGTTTTTCAAAGTTATATCTTCTGAGGATTCAGGAATTGCTGCAAAACAAATCATTATTAATTGATCTGTACAATACTACAAGCTTTGGTACTTTCCTTTGTGGTTCTCTTGTTCTCTTTTTCTGCACCTACGGTTTAGTATTTTAAGGTCTCAACACCTACACCTTTTAATTCTGCCATGAAATGTTCTGCAACTTCACTTTTCTGTTATTGCTTTGTGTTTTGCAGGCAGAGTATTGATTTAATTTGCAAGCATTCCAGCTTTCTATAGCTATAGTTCTTCATTTTGTAACCTTTTTATATGAACGTGTCTAAATCTCTAGAAAATTGAAATGTCACTAGTAATACCTGCTTCTACTTAATATGTCAAAAATGTAGTTTTACAACGAGGTATAAAAAAGACATTCTGATTATTGATATTTAACTGTAAAGAATATGAGACTGCCATTATTTACAAGTGCTTTATTACTTTCTTTTATGAATAGGTTTAAAGAACTTTGTTAATTATATGCTGTACAAGTGTAAAAAAAAGCCTCTACTTATACATTTTAAATGCCCTTTTTTCTATATAATTACTTTAAAGTAAGATGAGCATTGCTGTATTGCATTAAATTTATACTCAGATATGTTCTCTGAATGTGCTATAAATGCAGAGGTTCTTTCTTTCTTAATAGAATTTCACTTTTCTCATCTAGAGTTTCAATATTTCAGAGGTCTTTTCATTTGATTATACATGCAAATCTCTCGGGAGACCTAATACACTTAGCTAAAAATTACTCATTCCTGTATAACAATATCATCTACAGTGAAAAAGATTTTCAAAAGTGGTTCCAGTTCTCCACAGATTTGCTCTGTTTCCCTTGAATACAGACCCTGCTGCCTGGCCAAACTGTAACCAGAGCACTCCAGAGCCACAGGCAGATTAATGTTTATGTGAAATACAAAGTTTAAACCACATTTGAATACTTCACTCCTTCTGATTTGGGGGCAGTCATCTGTATGAGGCATGAATGACATAGATTACACTGCAAAAAGTACCACCAGGAGTATGTTCCTACTGGGCTGTTGTGGGTTGATGCTGGCTGGATGCCGGGCACCTACCAAAGCCACTCTCTCATTCCTCTCTGCAGCTGGACAGAGGAGACAAAATTTAGCAAAGGGCTCATGACTTGAGTTAAGGACCATGAGAGATTGCTCAGTAAACACCATCAAGGGCAAAACAGGCTTGACTGAGACATACAAACTTATTACTAAAGAAATTATATCAGGATAATTAGAAACAAAATAAGCCCTTAAAGAAACAGCTTCCCCCACCCCTCCCTCCTTCCCAGCTCTACCTCTTGCCCCAGCAGGAGGCAGGGATTGGGGTTTATGGTCAGTTCATCACTCAAGGCTCCTCCTGCTGCCCAGGGAGAGGAGCTGTTCTCCTGCAGCACTGTGGGGTCCCTCCCACAGGAGACAGTTTTCTATGAACTTCTCCAGCGTGAGTCCATCTCATGAGCAGCAGCTCTGAGTGACCTGCTGCAGGGTGAGTCCATCCCATGGGCAATAATCCTCCCAAAACTGCTGCAGCATGGGTCACTCACTCTTCCTTGGGGTCAGTCCTCCAAGGACTGGCTGCTCCAGCTTGGAAGCAGGGCCCTTCTCTCCACGGGTCTGCCATGGGGTAACAGCTTCCTCCTAAGCACCCACCCACTCCAGCATGGAGCTCCTCTTCCACAGGCTTCAGGTAGGTCTCTGCACCACCATGGACCTCCATGGGCTACCGGGGCAGGGCTGCTTCATCATGGTCATCGCCATGGCCTGGGGAGGAATCTTGGCCCTGGCACCTGGAGCACCTCCTGCCCTCTTCTCCACTGACCTTGATGTCTTTGTGCTGCTCTGCTCACATATTCTCACTCCTGCTCTTCCCTGCACAGCCTTTGTTTTGATTTTTTTATTTTTTGCCTCATACACAAATACCACCACAAAGGTATATAAATAAGAAAGTGACCATTCCTGACTTCAGGAGCTATATGCATTCATAAAAAGATATAACATGAGGAACATTTGTACTTCATATTTCCAAAAACAGAAATCAGCACTTAGACCATGACGTACAGAACAGGAAAACCAGCTTTGGACAGGGAGTTGCTTTCCTCACTGAGAAGCATCAGAGAGAACTGGAGGGAAAATGATCCATCTCTAAACCACATTTCAGCAAATTTCAACTGTAGCTCTTGGTTCACCTAAAGAACACCAAGACAAACCACCCGCTTCCAATTTTTACAGAAGTTGATTTTTAATTTTTTTCAAATTGAAAAACTATTTGTTCTGTTTGCTTCCAGAGCTTGTAAAAATTCTTCTTTGTCTGGAGAGTTAATTTTCCTGTTCTGAAAAAATGAAGATCTTGCAAATGAATGAAGAGAGCAAAAATATGACTCAAAATAAATATATCAAAATTATTAGTCTATATTAAATACTCTTGGGTACAGCTATAGCCTGAAAAACCATATCTTTTTCCCAAGGAAGTGACTGTAGTCATTTAATCATCTGACAATTTTTTAATTGTTCCTTTCCTCCCTTTTATAAAAATTCTGATACCAAAAATCAGTAACATTTTACATTGAGAAATATTTAATTGCCCTTGTTTATTTCAAATTATTCTGGGAGTTTTAGAGGAGTTTTCTAAGTAGAAAAAGTTCTCTAGTGGTGAGCTCTGGATATGAAACAAGGGACTATTAATGGGTGAATGAATATCATTTTGTTGAGGACAAAACAGATGATCCAATCATTTCTAAATGGACTACTTTCTGTTCTGAGAAAGTGCTAATAGAACTAAATAGAGATGATCAGAAAAATGAAAGAAGAGTACATATTGGATACTTTCAACTTTCCCTCTACAGTACATTGTACTTTTGAATTTATGACAATTTGTGATAAGCTAACATCCCTTCACATATAAAAAAAAAAAGGCTAAAATTATCAGTATATTCTAGAAGATATACTGGAAATTTCAACAAATGAGCAGCAGTCAGCAAGTAGTATATTATATAAAAGCTGTTGATATTAGAGGAAATGGTTCTATAAAAGGTAGAGAAATAGATACACCAAAGATGTTTGGAACAGGAAAAAAGTTTGATAGTACATGAGCACTTCTGAAATGAAAATGACAAATTCTAATAGAAAAGGGCTAAAATATTTGAATAATAATTTTTAAAAGCCTAAAACACTGCAGTTGCAAGTACAAAGATCTCACATTTAATAATTCAATACATTATACATACCTTATTTGTGCTTTGTGTACAACATAAAATGGCTCGCCTCTACCTATCTGTAAGGGCTCCAAAGTCCTGGGTGATAAATTATATTCAGTTAACAAGCTTCCATTAAGCCAGCCATGATTCCTTTCTGCAGCCAGCCATGATTCCTTTCACTCTTGAGCTCCATCCCACTGCATATGATTTACATGTGTAGTAGCCAAACTATTTCTGCCCAAGAAAGT